TTTGCCTATCACACTTCGAAATGCTTTCAAAAAATCGGATAACATTGGTAACTAGGATATAGTTCCGTTAAACAAAACTGGTAAGGTAAATCAACAAGTTATAGACCCATAGCAGATAGTGTAAAAGAAACGATGTTCCAAGTGGCAACAGCAACGACCAATTTGGTGACCCCGCCACTGGTTGGTTCAATTTATCGAGTTGTTTTCATTGTAAGGAATTAGACGTTGACTCTGGAACGTTAGTGCAGATTATCGATGGTACACTACGTGCAGTCCGGATTGGGGTCAACCACGCACCTGGTCTGCACACAACCGGGTGAGGCTGTGGAAATACAGGTTTGCCCTTCTTCATTTGCTTTAGGCCCGGTCGGGTAACTGGATACCTAAGTTTCCGGTTGGTTTTGGCAGAAACCGTGTTCCAAGCACCAACAATGTTAACCTTTTGAAAGGTTGGAGCAGTTTGAAGCGTGGATGAGGACCTGACTACACTTATTTCAATCGGACTTGCGGTGGTTGTTTTAGGCGTATTTGGGCAGCTGGTGGATGCCTTTTTAATGCTCTTCCTAGCAATTTCCCGCTGTTTTGCATCGGAGCCTAATGGAAAGACCTGGGGTTCGCTCGCAGTTAAGCTTTCTGCAAATGAATCGCCTTTGGTGTTCCTCATTTGTTCAATTATTGCCACCAGTCCTTCGTGTTTCTGCGCCATTTTATGTACAATCTTTACCAGTGGGACGACCATATCTACTGCACAGAACCATAGAGAACCTGGTTTACTATTAGGTATCTTTAACTGGTTTACTGTGAGCTTTGAAGATTTAGTATGAAACTTGCTGCGGCAACTTAAGCATTGAATTCCGGTTCGTTCATTTTCTTGAATGAAGAAAGGCCACATACTACTGTCAGCCTTGGTGTGGAATAAGGGGCAACTGTTGGTCCTCTGCTACGACCCACTGCGTCGATCGACGCCTTTCCGGTGAATGGTGTGGTTGTCTCTGCCGCTGTAATTTCAAGGTCAACGCGTTCGGTGCGCCCAAAACTGGCAGATTGGGAGCATGCAGATGGAGGGTTTGCACATTAATCTCTATGAGGTTTAAAGGAAGCGAGTAAGCGATGGAAACACAAAAGGTTGGATAGCTAATTCGCTTAGCAGTCGACAACTGTGGTTGAAGACTCGTCGATTGTGTTTCCGCGGGAACGGTGTGAAAACTGCGATGGTGTGATTACGGATAATCAACTCAAGGTAAACCAAAGAGGTGAAATGCACTAAATAGCGCTGTTGAAGCTGGATCGAATTACTGTAAGCATACGTGTGTGTGATGAGAGGTGCGTCAGTAACTCCGATCAAAGTACGGCGGCGCGGCGAACTGGACGTTCTAATATGTCCTTGGGCTGATTAGGAATTTCCTGCAGAATCAGCAACTGCAGGTCAGAGTTCGAAGTGCGCTGTCCGATCCGAATTATGTCGAATGTGGAGTTCCACAAGGATCAGTTCTGGAACCGCGTCTGTTTCTCGTGTACATTAAAGAGCTTGCGCGTTTGATTACTTCAAATTTCTTGCTGTTCCCTGACGATGTTAAGAGGTGGCGAACGACCCCCGACCCAGAAGACCAATATACACTTCAGCGAGACCTGGAGAGAGCGTATGAGTGATCTTTCCACAATCTGCTCCAGTTCAATTTGGGGAAGTATAAGGTGGTTTATATTCGCCACCAGCCAAACATCACATACAAGCTTGGAAACCATATCCTGCAGCAGTCACCCAGGAACGCCGCCTTGGTGTACTAGTTCAGGCTGATCTGGGCTGCTCAGAAAAATCTGAGGCGACAAATATTGGGAACCAACACGGTATGCTGCAGAGGGCATTCGGGCGGTTTGTTTCCTCTGATTTTTCGCAGTTACTTTACCCCTACGTGCGGCCTCTGGTGGAATGCGCAATCCAGGACTGGCAGTCCTGACAGAAACAAGACCTTGCAGCGCTCAAGACTCCACAGCGACGAGCCACGAAGCAAGTCAATGGGTTGTTCAAGCTTCTTTATCAACTTAGACTGAGGACCCTATAATGATACAGCAGCCAGTATCGGCGCCTGCGTAGAGACCTTATTATGACCTACCAGATTCTAAGGAACCCCAATCATGTCTGTCGCCACCTACTATAAAAGAGCCACAACATGAATTTGAGGGGCCACTAGTTCAAGTTAGACAAGCAATACAGTCGGCTGGAATGTCGACGGAACTTGTACTCTCTTCGTGTGTGCCAGCAATAGAACGTCCTCCCAAATTAAGTTGTTTACACGCCCCCAGTTTACCTGTGTTTAAAAAACGCCTTGGCGTTAACCTAATCCACCTATATTAGGAGATATAGTCTGTGTGTCTCGACAGCCGATATAATGTGACGAAAACTGCAAAAGCAGAATTAACCTGCACAACTGAGGTTAGCTTCTTCTAAATGTTTCTTTACTGACATTGTGGTGAGTCTACCAAAACGATTTTCACGTTGTCCATTTGTTTTCTATTCACCGCATTGTGATTTTCATTCTGGCCATCCTGCTGTATTTGTTAAGCATCTGCTTTTTGCGCGTAATACACCATGGTTCCATTGTTTATGTCCTTTTGCTTTATCCTGGATTTTCTATCCTTGGATGTCACTATTTCGACAGCAGTAACGACGACGAGCGTGCTAGAGTACATTGATGACATAGGTGCGAAGAAGATGGTTCATCCGGCATAGGCCTTGGAAATGTAAGACGCGCTTCAGTGTTGTAGGAAAGCGTGGATTGTCAAAACTCAAGCAGAGATACTAGTAGTTCTTCAACCAGAGGTGGGTAATGCATCATGGGTATTAAGTATCAAAGAACAGCAAACTCCTAACGTTTCCAACGCGTGCTGCCAACGTTACAGATCTATGATGCCAGTGGATAAGACGTAACGCTGTACGCTCAGATTCTCTTTTCATGGGTGATTTGAGTTTGGAAATCTGGCATGGAAAGTAACGATACCCCCCCCCCCCCCAGTTATCCACGCATTGGTCTACTCAGCAAAGATTAAAGTTACATATACACAGGTTGCTTAGTTTAAGAATAGCTCCGAACCAAAGGGAATTGAATGGCAGTGTCACTCGGTGGTTTCGGTGGACACTGTTCGCTCGAAAAGTATCTTGGTATGCTGGTCCAGGAAGTTCTTGGCTGCTCGAAGCAGTCCAAAAAGGCGTCGAAGAAGGGGATCAAAATCGTAAAGCTTTTACCTAAAGCTTTCAGGTAATTCGAGCCGTATAGTTACCGCCAAATACTTCCCGCTTACATACGCCCTCATGTGGCATATACAATTCAAGCATGGCACACATGGCTAAAGCGGGATCTCACGGTATTGGAGATTCCACAACTTCAGGCTACGAAAAATGTCAAGGGGCTACGCCACTTGTCATATGAACAGCGTCTCAGAGTACTAGGCATTTTTAGCGGAGGTTATCGACGTTTGCGTGTTGACCTAATCATGACTTACCAAATTTTGAGCAATTCTAATCACCCCTGCTATCACCCGTTGAAGCTGATTCATAACAACAAACTGAGTGGTCCTCATCTAAAATTGGCAGAACAATACAATCGGTTGGAGTCTCGAAGACGCTTATTATCGCTGCGTGTTTGCTACACGTGGAATACCCTATCAGAAGTTGTTATTTCAACCCCCATATTAGCAGTGTTGATAGCAAGTGTGGACAGTGTGCTGGCCGTACTACGACATATCACGTAACCAAAACGACCCATACAAACAGCAGCAACACAAAAAGAAATCAACCCACCTTCAGTTTTTCCCGGAAACCATGGACGACAACCTTGGATAGTACGTAAAAACACGGTAACAGGCAAATTCGCAATTTGCGGTTTTTCAGTATTTCCTATTGCTATTTTGTCATCATTTTGCTCACCCCTAACCGATCATCCGGCGGGACATGTCAAGCTTCGGCTTTTTTTCTCTCCACAATATACCACTTATCATTGACAAAACCATATGAAATTATGTGATTCGAAGCGTTTCGTCCTAAATGAAGACCAATAGCTACTCATAAGTTCATGTATGCTATTTCGTGCGTTGGGTTAGCAGCAACTACCGCAAAGAGATACTATAGTTGTGGATTTGAAGTGAGGTTAGCATTTTATTAGCCATGGGTGGAAGAGGCAAAAGGATGCCGAAGACAGCGGGTGAGGTCGGTGGCCGAAGGTAACTGCTTCATAATCCAGAGGCTATCGGTTCGAATCTACGTAGATGCAAGTGACGTGGCATACCCGGTCCACAGGTAACTGGTTGCGGTCGCGTGACAGGGAAGCTTCGGTGCTGTATACCGACGCATTGCAGGTGTCTGTAGATGAGGCCGAAATTAAACGGGAAACCAACAAGAAGCAATAAAGGGGGAAGTGAAGCGAATATTTACCCCTACGAAACTTGCCCGCCAAATCAAAATGACTGCAAGCACCACCGATCAATAGCAACGATAAAGCAATCATAGAGGTGGTTACCCGACACCATCCAACCAAAATCTAAGTCATTGTCCGATAATCAGTGTCTCCAGAAATACGTGCTAAAGACTGACCTCAGCAACAAGCTGGGGGTCACGAAATATATACGGTAAAGCGACGAGAACTGTAGATAACGCGTGAACGCGAGGGATGAAAAGCGAGTGCTGCATTAGTTTGTCACGTGCCCGGGGTCACGGGGAACTTCTAAAGTGTCCAGAAGCAATTTCATCTAAATGGCACTTTAAATGCATTCTGTAGCCAGTAATGATGATAGGCGTTTTTGACACTACCGTGACATTTTTGTTGAAAGCAGCATATGGTTTATAAGCGCAACACAACTGTACTGCACTTTTCATGATAACCAATCCATCTACGAAAGTAGCAGCAATTACTACAAAGAAAAATAGATGAGCTTGAATGATTAAACCATAGAGCTGATTTGACTATCCCCAAATAAACCTTTACCGTTTTGCAATCAACGGGCTTCAGACACCTGATCCTGCGACTCCAAGTTGGATCCCCAATAACAGTGAAGGCGACCGAACTTCCGCGTGGACAAAAAGAAGGTAAGCCAATCGATAAAATCGTCAATTTAGTATTTCAGATGAGTTTTTACCGGAACCGGAAATTCAAAAGACCGCATTCGACTGGCAAGATGATATGGAACTCTATTCTCGTTACCTGAGTCGCAAGGTAAGTTTGCTAAAACGGGTAAGGAATTGACAGAATCACGTCCGTTAAACTTCATGCAATGGAGATAAAAACAGGTAAAACACTAACGGAAACTGACAATGCATGCAGTAAAACAAAGTCTGGTTTATTTTCTGCATTCATACTCGTTTAAGGATAGAGTAGACTGGAAAAAATCCAGGTACCGCACGGGGATTTGGTGTGATTTCAGCAGACTACGAGAGTGACACAAGCAACGCTGAGAGTTATCAACAGCGGATTACGTTCGGTTACCAACCAAAATCGGATAATTAACCATTATTGTAATCAAAACTGACAGTGATGAGGAGGAATGTCCGACAAACGCAAAAGCTAACACAGGAGAGTCAAAACCTAGTTGTCTAGTTGGAAATTTGTTGTTGGAAGGAAGGAAACATGTTTGGATAGCGAGCAGCAGTCACCAACGTCATAAATCCTAAGCGGGAAGAGAGTACACGGTAAGCCGAATCAGTCTGATGGCATGCTTGCGTCCATTAGTTCCGTCATCGAACGGTTATTTTTACCCCTCCGTCTATAAAGCTCTAGGTTAACATCAACACAAGAAGAGCATGCAGTCTGCTGGTAAGGAATTTGTCCGGAGAGATGCTGCAGTTTGATAGATGTTGCATACACCATGGTTCTTTACCACAGTTGGGCTACATCACTTAAACTAGATTTTATTAGCCTGGATAAAAATATTCCACCATCAATTTCCATTCCAGATACCGCGATATGGAAGCAAATGTTGGTAGCTCAGGTTGTTCAGTTGGTGGACTGTGTTCGCTGAGCTCGGCAGATTGACTGCAAACGTTTCGTCACCACTCGAGGTGACATCGTCAGTGCGCGTGTAATAGCAGAGTGTCGCGTACGAAGTGTCCGTGAGTCTGAGTGATCGATCTCCTAGCCGCTAGTCTGAGTTTGGATTGTTCGACAAGCACGTGACCATGTAAATCGATCTCTGATTCTCAACTCCTAGTGTACGCGCGTGACTCTTCGGTTGTCGTCGTTTGATGCACTAGTCTGGCGGTCCGTTCCGTCAGATTTGTTCTACTAATTCAGTGATTTTTCATCCGTAGCGCTGTATATATATTATCTATTTCAACGTGTCGATTTACTGAATTGTCCGAAGAATACCATGCTTCCAAGAATTCTCTAGCTTGTCTCGAATTTCCACGGGCTAGGATCTTAAGGTTCTCTAGGTCGAAGTGATGACCTTCTTGGTATTCATGCATGGAAACCAGTGAATGCGGATCGTGTCTTCGTATGGACATTCTGTGTTCGTTGATCCGTGTTGACAGTTTCCTTCCAGTTTGCCCGATGTAGTGTTTGTCACACTCTGCAGTTAATTTTGTAGATGACATCATTCTGATTGCCTTGTTTAACTTTGTCCTTCGGTCTTGAAAGCAATCTTCGCAAAGTACCAGTTGGTTTGTGGGCTACCAAGATTCTATGTGGTCGTAGCAATCTTGACGTTAGTTCAGATACATTCTTGATGTAAGGAAGCGCTACCCGTGTATCTATGTTTTCTTCTTCTTTAGGCTTCTTCTGATGAAATTTCTCGGATACCCGTTGTTTTGTGTTGAATACTGCCTCTTGAATACGTCAGGTTCTAACAATGTGATACCAACTCTCCTAGTCGGATGAACGAAGGAGACTCAGAATTATTCCTCGCATAGCACGGTAACTGACAAATCTCGAAGTCTGTGGGTTCTCGGAACTTAGCCACGAAAGATTAATTCACGCGAGTCGAACGGGTTCCTAGACCGAACGCCAAGATTTTACGCACGATTTCCCAACCCAAGACTGAATAAAGAACAAGACAGGCCTCTAGCCACAGGCACTTTTACTGGCCAAAGCTAAGGCGATTCTAGCGTTCTACAGCCTCATTTTTATATCACGAAACGGTGATGAAGGGGGTTTTCCCTTGGAAGGGTTTGCGTAAGCAAACCCTAGAAACAAAAAAACATGGTTTTATGTAAATATGCAAAGTCCGTAAACTGAGCAGAAATGTTGGAAGTTTGGCGAGAGTTGTCCGGAAAAATAAATGTTGCTTGGATACAACAATGCGTGTTTAGTTGGAAACAAAACTGTTTCTGGGTGCAAAGACTAAACGTATGTGAATGTTTCACGAGTTGGAAGACTGATTGAACGTGTGCGTTTTGCCTGATCCGAGTACATGTGCACTTGTGTGAATCGGGTTTTTAGCCTTCCGTAATTTAAGCCCGTAATAATTATAGGGACGTTGGGTCCCCATAACATTTTGAAATACCCGGTATAGATGGTTCTCTTCCTTTTTCCTCAATTCTGTCGTGCTACAGTGTGTTTCGGCCCTATTGAAAAGACTTTGAATGCAGCCTTTCTTGTGGTTCAGTGGATGGTTGCTGTGGTAGTTTAATATTTAGTCTGTGTGGGTCTTCTTTCGATATACACATGTCTGAAATGTTCCGTCAGTGTTTCCTTGGACCAGGACATCTAAGAATAGTGACTGGTTGTCTTTTTCGAGTTCAATTGTAAACTTGATATCTTGGAATGTGTTGTTGATTAACTCATGGGTATCCTGTATGGAATCTCGTTTGATGATGACAAACGTGTCGTCAGCGTACCGGATCCATACTTTCGGTTTGATTAACGGTATTGTGATACTCTCCAGTTTTTGTATCACAGCTTCTGCAATAAGTCCTGAGATGGGCGATCCCATGGGCGTTCCTTTCAGTTGTTGGTATACTTGCCCATCAAAGTAAAAATAAGTAGTCATGCAGAGTTCCAAGAGTTTCCATATGCTCTCGGGCTTGATGTATCCTATTGTGTTCGGTTGGTTTCGAAGTAATTCCATCATGGTTTCTTTTGCAAGTTCGTGATTGATCAACGTGAAGAGTGCGGTGACATCAAACGACAGCATGATTTCATCTTCCTCTATTGTAACACACCCCAGTTTGTTGGTGAATTTTTCAGCATTGATGATGCTTTGTTCAGAGCCGGCAATTAGATGTTTTAATTTCTTCCACATACATTTTGCCAAATTGTACGATGGGATTCCTGGCAACGAGACGATTGGACGCAATGGGACTTCGTCTTTGTGTACCTTCGGCAGTCCATAGAATCTTGCAATATCTGTATCCTCAGCTTTCATCTTCCATCGCTCCTGCTTGGTAATCTCACTCGTTGCTTGTAGTTTCTTCAATGCTGCGTTGATTTGAGTACTCAGTTTTGTACTAGGATCGTGATCTATGGGGCGATAGGTGGTCGTGTCGGAAAGGAGTTGTTTGGCTTTTGCAACGTAATCTGGTTTATCCATTATTACTGCCATGCGTCCCTTGTCAGCTGGTAGGATTACAATACTGTCTTCCTTTTGTAGCCTTCTAAGTGCTTCCCGTTCTTCTTCTGAAAGAGTATGTGTGCATTTGTTGCGAGTTATCGCAGGGACAACTGTTTGTCTAATTTGCTGCCGCAATTCTTCTGCCAGTCCGTTTGTGTTCAAAACCTGTTCCAGGTTAACCAAGTAATCCCCATATGATGCATCTTTTGCGTTAAAGTTTAGTCCTTTGATTAGTATGTTCTCCTCCGTTTTGCTGAGTTGACGGCTAGACAAGTTTTTGATCCATCCTTCACTGCTGGGGTGGTCAGAATTTCTCGTAAGCTTATTCAACTTGATATTCAGTGCTGAGTTACGCTGGCTTCTGATGTTGTTTACTCGACGTTGAATCGCGGATTCAAGCTCTGCAAGCTTTTGGGGTCCCATCGCAATAAGGCAGTCAGTTTTGTTGTCATGTATGACCTTTTCATACTTTTGAAGGCGATTATGGGCATCTGTTATCATTAATTTGATCATACGCGTCCCATATTGTCTTGTTAAAGCCCAAGCCTCTGGATGATCTAACGCCGGTCTGTGGTTCAAACTTGGTGGCAGAACATTCCGTCTCAGACATTCGTGGAGGAAGTATAGCTGCTCGCGTGTGGAAGCTCGTCGACAGGCAAAGTTTTCCCAACGACGAGCTTGCTGAAGCGTTGTACGCTCGAATAGCTGCGATATGGAAGCAAATGTTGGTAGCTCAGTTGGTGGACTGAGTGTTCGCTGAGCTCGGCAGATTGACTGCAAACGTTTCGTCACCACTCGAGGTGACATCGTCCTCGAGATCGGATTGACCGAGGTTTACCTCAAAGTGAACCGAGGTCTCTATAGAGGTTGCGAGTCGCAACCCAACCACACAGCATGTTCCCTAAATGCTGTTTTGAATTGTGTTCGCTGTGCCAAGGGTTGCTCGCGGATCAGTAGCATAGCGTTCAGGGCGTCAGCCGTGAACTACTAGGCTCTGAGTTCCACCCCAGCTCAGGTTATCTCCACCTGATGAATCCAAATGAGGACGAAACCGCGGTTGTGGTGTGCCACCGTTGGGAAGAGCAACCCCTATATATTTCCATTCCAGGTACGGTCCTCGAGATTGGAATGACCGAGGTTTACCTCAAAGTGAACCGAGGTCTCTATAGAGGTTGCGAGTCGCAACCCAACCACACAGTGTATTCCCTAAATTCTGCTTTGAATATTCCACCATGTTTGATTTGCTCGGTTTAATTATTCTGCTGCATATTCCGTGTCAAACTCGCTTGTGTATTCCTCATCAAATCCCATGTTGGTTGCTTCATATCCCGGTGCGGATGCGAAGGGTGCTAAGGTACCTATCTGTTTAACACCCTCCACCTTGATTACTAGCTCCAGGAAACTGTGAATCGTCGCTGGAATGGAGGGGAGGGGTGCGCCGTTCGCATGGCCGTGCTAGGCTCAAAAAGTGATTCCATTCAGTGTGGAATCGGACTACGGCCCAGTCACCGCTCTGTGTACGTCTGGTACGCATGGTTCCTCACATAGATAGGCAGAAATACTGCTGTTGTGCATGTTGAAGGAGTGTGGGCCGGCCCCCCCGACCTTATTCCTTTGGATTTACACAGGATATGGGATGTGTGGGTGGAGTTGTGGGTGGTGCAGCACA